ATCAGTACGTTTTCCCTGCAAACAGACTATAATTGGGCAAGTTTATAATGTGTTTGTTAACCCAAAGCATTACGATGGTATGTTAAATTTAACACCAGGATACAAAGTAGCCTTCCTTCCTGAAACCTTTGCTCAGGAAAGGGGTTCTATGTTACAGTCAAAGCACATTATACACAAAAACAGTGTAAATTGCCATCATCTCTACCAACTGAGCAAATGATGATGTAGAGAATGTGACAGTAGATGAATGCCAGGCTATGGAATAAGTCGACAGCAATGCAAATAATCAAGATGGAGAGGTATACATGTTAATTTCAACATTAACACCATAAATCATTTGATTTAAATGTTACCTTGACAAACATGTGATATGATCCAGATGCTGCATTCATGGTACACGTTTCTTCAGGTTTGTTATTTAACACCTCAAATTTGAGGGTTTGAGAAAATTGAGTTTAATACTAGAGCAGGGCACATGTAAAATCTGCTGACATTACAAATATGTTCCCAATCAATGGCTGAGTGAGAGTCCTATCCCCATTCATTTGACGGAGTCGGACGCCACAATGGCAGTCAAGCCTGGATTAGTCTGGATATCATGGTATTGTTATTCCAGGGGACTTTATTGACATGAAGTGTGCATGATTACTGTATCAATGAGGGGGAATGGTTGAAGACAGTAATTTCATTTACTCAGTGGAATATGTCAGCGTTGGTACAATAGAAGCATGATAGTTTCCTGCTGACTCGGGAGGTGCTGAAGTGACACACAGTCAAATTCTCTATCGATTCAAAATATTTTGACATTTCTCAAATTTACCGAGAATTATTGGTTACACATGATTGATAATGGACACCTCATGATGTTCTGTAATAAAAATAATCAACTTACGAAGACTTAACATTGCTGAATATGTAGTCATGTGAAATCAATTTCAAATTCGTTTATGAAGTAGTCAATAAGAAGTCTAAATAGACCTGATTACTGATCAAATATTGCTTCCATGGCAACAATATTGGATATTAATTAACAAGTCGAGAATTCAGGGATCCTATTGTTGGAATTATCATCCAGTGTGGGGTGTGAGTCACGGCTGGTATTAGGGAGATTAGAGAACTCACTGAGTCAACAGTTGATAACGCAGGGGGATGTGTTACCACCACAGCATATCTACCTGGGGAGAGATATCTACTCCTTGTGTGAGTTTACTGAGTGATATCTTGTACCAGGGAGGTTGTTAAAGAGTTGATATACACCTTGTGTGAGTATGATGGATGATATGTTGTACTGAGCTGATATAGAGCGGCTGGGGGAATAGTATTATGATCTGTTGTAGCAGGCTGATACACAGTTGATAGGGTGGTATACAGGGAGGTAGTGGCTGATCTGTCATAACTGGGAGATGTATAGATGATATACACTGACTGTGAGTTACAATAGTGGCTGATCTGTCATAACTGGGAGATGTATAGATGATATACACTGACTGTGAGTTACAATAGTGGATGATCTGTTGTAACTGGGAGATATAAAGGTGATATACACTGACTGTGAGTTACAATAGTGGATGATCTGTTGTATAACTGGGAGATATAAAGGTGATATACACTGACTGTGAGTTACAATAGTGGATGATCTGTTGTATAACTGGGAGATATAAAGGTGATATACACTGTCTGTGAGTTACAATAGTGGATGATCTGTTGTAACTGGGAGATATAAAGGTGATATACACTGTCTGTGAGTTACGATAGTGGAAGATCTGTTGTAACTGGGAGATATAAAGGTGATATACACTGACTGTGAGTTACAATAGTGGATGATCTGTTGTAACTGGGAGATATAAAGGTGATATACACTGACTGTGAGTTACAATAGTGGATGATCTGTTGTATAACTGGGAGATATAAAGGTGATATACACTGACTGTGAGTTACAATAGTGGATGATCTGTTGTAACTGGGAGATATAAAGGTGATATACACTGTCTGTGAGTTACGATAGTGGAAGATCTGTTGTAACTGATATACAGATATAAAGGTGATATACACTGACTGTGAGTTACAATAGTGGATGATCTGTTGTAACTGGGAGATATAAAGGTGATATACACTGACTGTGAGTTACAATAGTGGATGATCTGTTGTAACTGGGAGATATAAAGGTGATATACACTGACTGTGAGTTACGATAGTGGATGATCTGTTGTAACTGGGAGATATAAAGGTGATATACACTGACTGTGAGTTACAATAGTGGATGATATGTTGTAACAGGGAGATATAAAGGTGATATACACTGACTGTGAGTTACAATAGTGGATGATCTGTTATAACAGGGAGATATAAAGGTGATATACACTGACTGTGAGTAACAGTAGTGGATGATATGTTGTAACAGGGAGATATAAAGGTGATATACACTGACTGTGAGTTACAATAGTGGATGATCTGTTGTAACAGGGAGATATAAAGGTGATATACACTGACTGTGAGTTACAATAGTGGATGATATGTTGTAACTGGGAGATATAAAGGTGATATACACTGACTGTGAGTTACAGTAGTGGATGATCTGTTGTAACAGGGAGATATAAAGGTGATATACACTGACTGTGAGTTACAATAGTGGATGAGAGGTGTTGACTGTGAGTTACAATAGTGGATGATCTGTTGGACACCATGGGAGGGGAGTATACAGTCATACTAGACACCAGTGGGAGGGGAGTATACAGTCATACTAGACACCATGGGAGGGGAGTATACAGTCAGACTAGACACCAGTAGGAGGGGAGTATACAGTCAGACTAGACACCATGGGAGGGGAGTATACAGTCATACTAGACACCAGTAGGAGGGGAGTATACAGTCATACTAGACACCAGTAGGAGGGGAGTATACAGTCAGACTAGACACCCTAGGACACCATGGGAGGGAGATACAGTCATACTAGACACCATGGGAGGGAGTATACAGTCATACTAGACACCAGTAGGAGGGGAGTATACAGTCATACTAGACACCAGTAGGAGGGGAGTATACAGTCAGACTAGACACCAGTGGGAGGGGAGTATACAGTCATACTAGACACCATGGGAGGGCAGTATACAGTCAGACTAGACACCAGTAGGAGGGGAGTATACAGTCAGACTAGACACCATGGGAGGGGAGTATACAGTCAGACTAGACACCAGTAGGAGGGGAGTATACAGTCATACTAGACACCATGGGAGGGCAGTATTTAGTCATACTAGACACCAGTGGGAGGGGAGTATACAGTCGTACTAGACACCAGTGGGAGGGGAGTATACAGTCAGACTAGACACCAGTAGGAGGGCAGTATACAGTCAGACTAGACACCAGTAGGAGGGGAGTATACAGTCAGACAAGACACCATGGAAGGGGAGTATACAGTCAGACTAGACACCATGGGAGGGGAGTATACAGTCATACTAGACACCATGGGATGGGAGTATACAGTCATACTAGACACCAGTAGGAGGAGCATGGGACTAGACACCATGGGAGGGAGTATACAGTCAGACTAGACACCATAGGGAGGGTATACAGTCATACAGACATACTGGGAGACACCATGGGAGGGGAGGTATACAGTCATACTAGACACCATGGGAGGGGAGTATACAGTCATACTAGACACCAGTAGGAGGGCAGTATACAGTCAGACTAGACACCAGTGGGAGGGGAGTATACAGTCATACTAGACACCAGTAGGAGGGCAGTATACAGTCATACTAGACACCAGTGGGAGGGGAGTATACAGTCATACTAGACACCAGTGGGAGGGGAGTATTTAGTCATACTAGAGACAGCCCCCAGGTTTGTTCTCCTCATAATGGACAAAAGTCTTTCTCCATATGGATGCAGACTCATTTTCTTCCTCAACTCCCCACTAATCTCTCATTCTCTGCTACACTCTTTTACTCAATAAACCCAGCTTAAATTGACCGTTAAAAACGTAAAGATTTTCATCCATTGGGAGTTATGCTAAAATTTGACGAACTTTTTTTCCTGTGTGTGATCGATAGTAATAATGGTCTGCTATGCCAGATTGTGATGTTCATCCTCTGGGTCATCTCTCGAGTCCTCATCAAAGGGTTGAGGGAGAGAGTATTGCACATGCTGCAGATGCATTTAAATAGGGTAGAAATAAAAGAACACTTCCCGTCACTGACCGATGACAGGCCTCATGTCTGATTAGCCGTAAATGTTGTGTTGCCCGTCTATCAACAATATTGAAATGATATCAACTCAGCCCTAGATTCAGCATGATTCTCATCCAGATATGCATCAACTGGCTCTCTGAAGACTTTGAGGCTAGGACAAATTATGTTTTTGTGTTACACATATTCTAAATTTAGCAAAGTTTATGTTTAACTACATTCTTTTCCCTGAGTTTGATCAATAGTAATTATGGTCTGCATGGCAGATTGTGATGGTTCTTCATGGGGGTCATCTGTCGAGTCCTCACTCTCTGACAACAGTAAGGCTGGGACAAAGTTTGAAAGATTGAGAGTGAGAAAGAGGGAGAGAGAGATATATGTTTCGTATACTAGGATATTAAGCACATGTTCACTGTAACTAAATATTGTCAGTTAAAACAATGTCTTCACACCTGACAATAGAAGATGTTCTCCTCTGTATGCTGTATTCACCTTCCACCCAGGTCATCTGACCTGTGTATCTGATTCCACCGGGAGGAATATACTTACCCTTTTCATGAACACCTGGTGTCATTCATGTAATTTTAGAAGCTATATTTTCCTTCACACCAAACAGAATTTGTTTCTGATCGAGTAAAGTCAAGACTGGATATTCTTTTCCACTGACATCCTCTATATATTATCAATGTTCGGAGTTATGTCTCGACATTGTGGCTGCTGTTTATGGTCATCTTCTGGTACATTTCAGTGCAACAACCAATCCAGACAGCTCCTTCCATGCACTTATATACCAATCCAACTTTTGATATGTTCCAGCATGCCAACCCGCGGCTACATTGCCGGCAAGCCGGTGTCGAGGTGGGATGCGGAGTCCGACAATATCGACATTGAGTACAAGAACCTGGACAGGCCACGACCCCAAGCCTGGTGCGGAGACTGCTTCAGTGGGAGGAAGGGGACAATCCTCAAGGTCCTCCTCCTCATCGTCATCTTCTTTGTAGGCCTCATTCTTGGATACATCATCAGACGCAACATCCATGAGACTTTCATTGCCCCAGAGCAGAAGCCGAACTTCGGAGTCCAGCAGGTAGGTTCATGTGTTTGTATGTAGTCAAGACGTCTGACCGGGATGGATCCTCATTGGGTGGCCCAATCAGGTCAAGCAATACATGTATAACTTGCAGAATTGTGTACCTTTGACATACCAGAATCCTATAATGGACACCTGGGCTTAAATACCAGATTGTCCTGATACTGTTTCTGGATTTTATGATGGCACAGTACCTGTGCTGCTAGGTGTCATCAAACGTGGTGGACATCTGTGAACTGCATCACTAAGGCTTTTGAACCAAAGTTGGTTGGTTGATTACTTGATGTTTAACACTGCACGCAGCAGTATTCCTGCTATATGACAGCAGTTTGTAAATAATCAAGTTTGAACCAGACAATCCTTTGATCAATGGCTTGAGCATCAATCTACGCAAATGGAATACAATGACATGTTGAACCGAATTAATCCCATGGGGTAATGTGTGTGGTGGTAAATTCACTCACTCCAGGATGGTGGACGAGAAAATGATCTCGAATTAGTTTATTTTAATACTTTGTCTGGATTCAAGATGTGCAACTATAAGCCATGTTCTGATCAAGAAGGTGAACATGACAGTCTGTTACAACCAGTACCATGATTCCTGTATGTGCTACCACTGATTACGCCCAACTTGCAGATGAAGGACTGCGGCCAATATGATGCATGTTGTAAACATTAATCTTGGAAGCAAGGGTTAATGGCCAGTTGTGTTATCAGCGCTCCACACTGAATGTGTCACTGTTCCATGATGGTTGCACATAGATTGTTGCTCACCCTGCACCATGTTAATATAGTTCTTCCTGAGACTTGGATATCACGGTCCTTGGAGTTTGAAGTGTATTAAGCCTGAGTGTCCTATGATGACATTTCTGTGCCTAAAATCTGTTGCATGTGGTAGATGACTTCTTAGGGGAATCCGAGATGACCTCCATACTTGTCAACTTGATGTTTATGGTCTTTGTGAAGGTCATGGACATATCGTAACTGACTAACTGCATATCAGAAGGCAGTGATGAAAATAAAATTTCAACCTGACAACCGGTCTGGCAACACTCCAAAGATTCCAGACCAGAAAAAATGCTGCCAGTCCAAAATTTTCTGGACTAACAAAAGCAACAGGAAGGTAAATGTGAGGAAGGAACCATTCATGTTAGAATAATAATACACTGGCACATTTTCAAATCTGTTTCAGTGAACATGGATTGTTCATCATAATTCAAGTCGGATTTCATCCATATCAGGGTTACATTGAGTACATTACACAATAACAGCCTGACCATTGGGCATGCTACTTTTAACCTGACTGTCCAGCCGCAAAACAGACCGTCCCGAACTGTCGGGCAGTGGCGAATTTTCAACGCTGCAGAAGGTCAATGACATGGACAGTCCTGTCATTCAAGCTCTCGAATTGACCGTGCAGAGTTGTGTAGAGTCCTTAGTAATTCCAGGAGGTGACAATCAAAGATCTCCAACACCGTGGTGTTCCAGCACTGTGGCCCTGTGTTTCACTGCATGTTAACATGTGTTTCGCCAAACTTATGAACATTCATTTACCTGCACATCCCTCCAACATTAGTAGGGGCGGTGGGGTAGCCTAGTAGTTTATTATAAAAGCATTTGCTCGTCACCCCAAACATCCGGGTTCGATTCCCCACATGGGTATGTAGCGGCCATAAAATTTCCCGAAGCTGACAAGGTAAGGATGTCATCTGTGGGATGACTCCACGCCCTGCTACATACGCCCCCGTCAACAGAAGGCACGTCCCAAATTTGACATGAACATGCTCAGCCCCACGTAGGCCGCCAATGAAGCGGCCGTAAAATTTCAGAGTCCCGTGCTGGGATTCGAACCACGAACCTTCTATTCCGAAGTCGGACGCCTTGTCCACATGACCAAAGAGGTTAACCCCGTTAGCAAGCTGACAACATAAGGATGTCATCTGCTACAGGTACAATGTGTGAAACCCATTTCTGGTGTTCCCCGCTGTGGTATTGCTGGAATATTGCTAAAAGCAGCGTAAAACCATACTCACTCACTCCAACATTAATCCTGAAACTGACAAAATTACTGCTCCAAGCAGGGTAAAGTGTCTCGCTGACCAGAGGGCAAGGACTTGTCCTGATACTAATTGGCATCTATTTATTTTGCTAATGAGCCAGTGATGTGATCAGCGCAGCAGAACTGGCAGGCTGAAGGAAGATGGTGTCCACTGGGATCTTGTTGATGGAGGCGGGACATTTAGTCTCATCAATATTCAACAAAAAGACCTCCCTAGTTACATGCATGAATTGTGGCAGCTGTGCAGGACTGTTATTTGTTGCCATTTTAAGGAAGAATGAGCTCAGTTTCAGGCTGATTAGAAGCAAGAGTTCTTCCTGTTATAGTGTTTTTGTTAGTTTGTTGTGGCTAAGTGTCTTGTTGACTGTTGTAGTTCAAATATTGTATTATCAACATGAGTGAGTCAGTGATTATTTCTATATCATAATAATAATAAGTCATCTTCTGTAGCACACAGTTTCCAAACACCAAGTTATTGCTCGCAGCGCTTAATCAGAATCTGATTCTTATTACCCCGGATAACCCAAGCTGCCTGTTAGGTGCTAGAAGGTTATGGTCACATGACTTTTTCCACCGGGTACCCATTTTGTGCTGGGTGAACAAAGGCAATTTTGAACAAACTCACTTGCCTAAGGTGAGACCATGTGTGTCACATGTGCTTCGTTTATATACGTTTAGTTGTATCGCAGTGTAAGCATCATGTGGCAGGAAACCAAGTTGCCAGAGACTTGCCACCCAATGAATCCAGTGAGCACAGGCTTACCTCCCACTGGGTGGGATCACTGAGTACCGACTTACAGCCATGTGAAATCAGTAAGCTCGGACTTACCACTCAGGTGAAACCAGTAACTATGGACATACTATTTGGGTGAAACCAGTGAGCACAGGCTGTGTTCAAAGCTCAGGTCACAAATCGGTGAAGTAGAGCAGCGTCGAGCTCGGACAGCCCTTGGATGGGTGACCATGTTTGGCAGCTTGACTCCTGAGAGTTTCTAGGACTTGAGTCCTGCCCCACAACGAAGCACATGTGACACATGTGGTCTCACCTTAGGCAAGTGAGTTTGTTCAAAATTGTCTCTGTTCACCCAGCAGGAAAATGGGTACCCGGTGGAAAAAGTCATATGACTATAACCTTGTAGCACCTAACAGGCAGCTTGGGTTATCCGGGGTAATAATGTGCTGTGCCTTGATTGTTAGCGCTATGAGCATAACTAGTGTGGAGTTTGGACGCTATATAAATGGACACATTATTATTAAACCAGTAACCATGGATATACAATTCGGGTGAAACCAGTGGCCACAGGCTAATAACTTAGGTGAAACCAGTGTGTTGTTGGCATTCAAAAGCATCATGGGCACAATGATGGTTCCACAGTATCTAGACAACAAGACATTTACACGATGAGGATTAACCGACATATTTTACGATATTAAATAGAACGAAAATGTTTTCGTTCCTAGGAACGTAGATTCTCAACCCATTCATTTTTCATATTGTGATTGGCAATGTCAATCCCAAGTTGAAACAAAAAGTCAACATGAAATGACAGAAGTTTCTGTAGTGGAACTTTCTCTAATACTATGCATCAGAATTGCTTGAAGAATCGGGATGCTCTGCATCTTTCCAGACTCTCCCTGTCTAAATATAGTAACAAGGGCACCACCGCCCTCAACTGCATCTGAATAGGAACATTCAGTGACACCACTGTTCCTTGGTGAATAATATCTTCATGTAGCATGATGTACCAACTGGATGGTATTGTTTTTTTACAATACGGAGTCACAAGTTTTTATTTGTATTGCTCTGTTTATTGTATCGCTTCATACAACTGAGATTTGTTTCCAATAAAACAAAATCTGTTTTCCCAGGCATGTATTTCCCCTGATGAACGAGGATGATGTCATCATGAACCGCAGCTAGTTTGCATTATTGATCCTTTCACTCATGTTAAGTTTTTCAGTGGATGTGGTGAAATTCTTCATTTTGGTCGTAATTATCTTCAGCAGGATGGTCATCATGTTGTTAAGATGCCACCGTTCATCAGAGTGGGGTTGATTGAACTGCAATTGCTAAAAACCTTGTTTTGTGAGCACAATTACCAAGCATTGACTGGAACAAAGTTTTAGGAGGATTTTCACTTGAGCTGGTTGAATCTGCAAGGCCCTGTTCTTTATCTGGCAAATGACACGACACCAACCACTAGTTATGACTGTCATGTTCCTGCAGATGTCCTGGAGCTGTTGTCATGATATTGATACTGACTGTAGCGACGTAATGCTCAAGACATAATACCTCTGGTGCCAAATGACTCCCGAGGTACCTATAAAGAAACTCATGGAGGTCCTAGGAGCCAAGTTGGTGCCATGGAGTCAAATGGAATGACTTCAGTGTGGAGTATGATTGAGGGTTGTTCTTCAGCGGGTGATTTGTAGATAGATAGTATGCATGTAGGAGTTACATCTGAAGATATCAACCGATGGTTTACATCCACATGACTCTTGGGAATTGTTTTGGCAGAGATTATGGGAGGGTCATGGGACACAAAATTTTTCTTTCGGTATACTTTCTCGAGGTTGGTGCCCTTTTAAAAGCAATGGTTGAGATCAATCTGCTCCGCTTCACTCCACTCCACTCCACTCCACTCCACTCCACTCCACTCCACTCCACTCCACTCCACTCCGCTCCCTCCACTCCACTCCACTCCACTCCACTCATTTTTTTATGCAAATCAATTTCATTCAGCCATACAGAAGAATCTTTTACTTACTCATGTAACTTACTCACTCACTCATCATTTTTTCAACTTAATCTAGTATACCCTGCGAGAACAATCTGTATAAATTTAGATGTTTCCAATTTCTCAGAAACCTTTTTCAGATAGATAGAAGAGAATATATCTTGTTGTCTTTATCCTCCATTGTTCATCAAAGTGACATT